AAAGTCAACATTTTAAATATAATTACAGCTATGCAACCAACACCATAGTATATTACAGAATATATGCATTGACTCAGAAAGAGCATCTGTATCTTTCACCCATAATCCTGCAGCCCTCACCTTGCCTGTTACTAATAGAGCTTGAAAAATACAGTGAACTATATGATTGCTATGATGGGTCTAAATATCTCCTCAAAGCCTCAGTGCAGCTTTTCACGGGTGGCTAGATCTGGAGAGTGAGATGCAGGGGTAAGGGTGTGTGGTTGCTTAATCAGTCCTCTGAGTGTTTTGGCATAGTTCTGAGTGTGCATAATGGAAAGGCCTACCCTGGGTGCCTGTGGCATTACCCAAAGGGCAGGTAACCAGAAAGGGAAAGAATGGGGAGGCAAACTCCTGGGGCTGCTGCCATGTCACTACTTTGTTGCTTTGGTGCCTTCTGTCTGCCTTACCCTGCCATGTCATGGACTGTTCATCCCTTGAAATTCCCCTCTGCCATGCCAGCCTGTCCTGTAGCCAGGCAACTTTGGATTGAAACCTCTACAAACTGTAAGCAAAAATAAAATTTGCTCCTTTATTTGAAGGTTGGGCATTTTGTCTCAGTAACAAAAGAAGTAACTAAGACAGTGTTGAACTTCATCAGGAAGCTGAAGGAAGAGACTACACCTGATTTTCCTCTTCCAAATGTCTAAGAAGCGAGGGTAGCCAGTGAGAGTGGGATAACAGATAAGACCTAGATATTTATCACTTAAATTTAAAGACTAGGATTCTCCCTTTCTGAACCATACCTGACCTTTAAGATGACTCTTTTGGTAGAAAAACAGAAACCAGGATTGAACGTCAAGGTGGCAATATGACCATTTGTACAAGGAGGCCTGTGCCTGCCTACTGAACTAGTGGATCTGAGCACATGAACCCTTAGGGCATACAAGACATAAACACAGATCCAATGTGTATCTAAAAGTACCCATTCACCACCTCTGACTTCCCTGTTATCACTGCAAACCCCTTACAGGCCCTCTGTTGCACTGGGGCCACTGTTATTTTTGTTTGCCAAAAACTAGGATACAACATTGGTTCTGGTTTTGCCATTGACTGCTCTTCTCACCAAGTATTGTGGTGCAGAGATGAACAACTTCCTTGATTTCCCTGAAGTTAATTGATGGGAAATGTGCACACATTGTTTTTTCCTGATCACAGATCCTGCTATTTACCTAAGTTCTATTTCTTTCACGTGTTCCCCCAGCATGCACCACAGGTGAGAAAATGGACAGTGCGTCCTGCTGTCTATCAGGCGCCCACTCCTAAGAGGTTTACTCTTGTGGTCCCCATTCCCTTTCCTCATGGTGTGTGCTGTCTTCATTTAGCTTGAGTTTAGTGAAGACTGGGTTAGATGATGCCCCTCAAGTCTTTGGTCTCCTAAAGCTGCTGTCTCTAACATGGACTCTGGGAGCTCAATTTCAAATTCTTTTGAGGGTACTAGAAATTGAACTCATGTCTTAGCACTTGCCAGGAAGGTGTTGTGCCCCTGAGCTTTATCTCCAGTCCTGCAATTTCAAATGTCAAGCTGACTTTTGGCATTTTATTTTCCTGAGTGGAGCTGAGAATAGGAACCCTAGCACATAGAGGAGAGGGTTAGGAAGAAAAAGAGAAAGGGTGAGGTAGACTGGAGGACAAAAGGTTACATAACCTTTGGAAACTGGTGAAGAATACAGAAGAGAAAGAAGGAACAAAGGAAGAAACAGCAGAACAAAAGAACAAAAAACTAGAATAGTGTTCACATCCATATACAAACAACAAACAATCAAGAAAAACAAAAAAAATACAATAATTAAGCCAAGAAAGTAAGAAAAAAGAAATAAAAGTCCACTTTTGGGCACATCTCTGCTGTCACTGGGAGACAGAGTGGGCAGACCAAGTCCAGATCCATGTCGACTGGTCCCAGCGAGCCATAGTAGAGTACCAGCAGTGGTGGGTAATTCACACTCTTCAGTTCCACTAAGTGCAGGGTTCTGGATGTGAGACTGGGACCTGAGTTGTTAACCCTGCAACACTCTTGAGTATTTCTGCCAGCTTGAGCTCAGTTTCCTGCTAGTTTGAACTCAGCTCCCTGACCTGCAGGGTTAAATTCAGCTGTGCCTTACCCTGACCCTCTGAGCTGTTATATGGAGCCAACTCACAGCTGCTCTGAGTTCTGACTGTAATCGGCCCCTTTCTAAATTTGTGACCAGTCAATTACCCTTCCCTGGGGAACATCTGAACCCAAAGAACTCACTGGCCACTGCACCCCAGGACATTATCTGCTCTGTTGCACTGCTGCATTTCTCCATGGAGGATTTTAGGGTTTGCAGTAGTCACTGTGCATCTGCAGGTTCCAGTCACCCCATTCCATGCTGCAATCCAGAACTTGGGGAGAAGGCACCACTTGTCACCTCCCTCTTCTTGTTGCAATCCCTCTCCTCATTCTTCTGTGTACTCTGTTTCTTGCTTCAGATCCTCACTGGTCCCACAAACTCACGTCCTTCCTCCTCTTCCTCATGTAGCTATATCTAGATGAAAAATATTAGCGAGGTTGTTTCTCTGGTGCTCACTGTTCAGCCATCATCTCAGAACCCCCACCCCCGGCCTCAGTGATCTTGTCTCCTTGTGCATTTTAACTGCCACTTTACAGATTTTTTGCTGGGATTTCATAAGTATCTGTGAGATCAACTCTGAGAGAGTTTTTTTTTTTTGTTTTTGGAAGCATCACAGCCCTTCTTTCTCATTTCTATCACGATGTTTTATTGAGGTTTGCACAGCACTTAGGCAGCATCTCATCGTGTATCACGTGGAGTATTTTTTTAGTAGGTGTCTCTCTTCTTGTGTATGTCCTAGACGGTGCATTGTTTCTGTTAGAATCTCCACTCATCTTCTCTAAATGGGAGGTTCACCTTCTAGAGTAATGCTTCAGAGGGGAAAACACCTGCCACTAATATCAACACTTAAAGGTAACATAGACTGACTGTCTCTTACTTAAGAACTTGATGAAATTTTCCTGTAATTTAACTTAGGAAAGACAGAGTATAATATAGTATAATAGACTAAAATGTAAGCAATGATTATATTTACAGATTTCAAATGTGTATAGATTGAAAAGCAGAAACAGTGGCAGGAAGAGTGTATAAATAAAAATAAAGAAAATGTTATTCCAAAAAAAAAATGTTAATGTAGAGTGACAAAAGCAGGTGTTTGAAGGGAAGTAGAATGGAGTAGAAAAGGGGCGAGAAAGGCAAAGGAGATTGCATGAAGTTGTTGCTGGAACATTCCACATATGCTTATATGCAAACATCAGACTTTGTCAGACAAAAAAGCACCTATTAGGAAGTGAGGAGAAAAATCATAATGAAAAGTGGGAGCGATAAAAGGCAGTGATGTCCTTTGTTGATTAGGGTGAGGATTCCTGGACAGTTTTTCTCTGGCACTGTGTTTTCCCATCATGTCCAGAAGCCTCTTGTTTTCTCAGGGTTAATAGATGGGAATGTACTCTGGTGAATCACAGCCCATCGTTCCCATGTAGGCCTGGCCAAGAAGGAAAGTTCACCCTGTCCCCCCCACCGCCATGTCTGGAGCGCTTGGTTTCCATGTCTCAGCCTGGCCGAGTTGCATGACTGAGTTGCAAGCAGTGTCTGGGAGCAGATTATTCAGCTAATGCAGGACAGGAGGATTTTAGGTGTGCTTCCACCAGGCTATACCATTACCCAGTGGGAAAGTCTGTGGATTTAGTGCTGAACAGATATTCAAATGGTAACCATTTAGGCTCAGTTTTAACAGGGGCCCTACATACACCAGCATTTTTTCCACAATTATAGAAGTCAGAACCATAATAAGATTTTGTGGCTCTAAGTCAGAAATCACCCTAAAATTGGGAGAATAAGCTATGAACAAAGCACAAAAGACCAAAACGCCTACATTGACACTAAGCAAAAGAGAGAGCTTTTGAGGGGAAGGAATTGAAGAGATAGTGGTCCAGAAGGGATGCCTTAGAGGCTACAAAGATCCTGGTAGAAATGAGACACAGTTAACTCTTCAAGCAGAGGGACTCAAGGCTATGTTGTACTCCAAACTATCTGTCTCCGAGTCCTCTTTGGACTATGGTGAGAACTTTGAAATCAGACTTCCTGGAACTGAAATTGGACAGAGCACATTCTAGTTGTCCAGAAAGATAGTAACATGCAGAAGCTGCCTAGCAACAGCTGCCTAGTAACATGCAGAAGCTGCCTAGATGCTAAATGGTCCTCCTAGCAAGTTTGGACATGGTGGTCAGTAAGGGGAATTGTAGCTCTGTGTCAGTTGCCAACAGATGGTTTGGTTGATATCTGTCAGGTGCACAGAACCACTGTAAGCCACAGGACAGCAAGAATCTGACCTCTATTCCCTCCTGGATCCCAAGCCTAGCACCTTGATGACTCGGACAATCAGCCATTGGTGGGAGCACATACGTCTACCACAGAAACAGTAAAAGAGATGCAGGTTGTCACTGTCTGAAATCACCTAATATTGAGGATCTGTGCACAGGAAAAGACACAGAGTGCTGTACTCAAGCTGCAGCAGTCTGTCAGACCCCTGGCCTTGATCTTCCTGTGAGAAGTTTATCAAGCTGCTCTCCCTGCCAGGCCGTGACTTGGGGTGTACGTAGAAGCATGTTATAACAAAGCACACATGATCTGACGTGAAACAAAGCTAGGGTTTGAGCATGATATTGAAGACTGAACCAAGAGCTAATATCATCTCAAAGATACATTTATTTTTACTTTGTTCACAAAGTTACGGGACATGTGCAGTGGAGGGTGATGGAAGAGGTGGCATTTTTTTCTGTGGAGAGGGTGAATTGCAGTGTGAAAAACATGCTGCACCTTTATATTATTCTTGTCTATCCCTTTAGATGTCTGTGCTTTGTTATGTATATTAAATCACTGCACATGTAATTAGTAATATTAAAAAATACAGAGTCAAGAATTTGCTCAAGAATGATTTTATTGGTAGGCAGGACTCCACAATAGACAAGTGGTAGAGGCCAAAGTAGATGGGTGACTGGTCCCAGACTAGTAGAGGCCAAAGGAGATGGCCTAAACGACGTGACCTTTCGCTCCTACTACTCCTCTGGGGGTGCCACTAACAGGAGGATGGTGGTTTCGGAGGAGGGAGCAGGGCACGCTGGGCTTCCTTGATGACATCACGTATCTTCACATAGAAAGCGCAGGGCTTTGGTTGATCCCAAGTCTGAATAACAGTGATGGTACAGTCATTTGTGTGAAAATTTGGGTGGCATTTGGATTTGTCATACTGAAGAGGTATAGAAATCCTGCCATGGAGAAAGAACACAGCTGTTAGAAGGACCCCCCACATCATTGCCCCAGCCAGTTCTTTTTATGAATCAGCTCACACAGATGCCGCCTTGGGTTCCCATCACTAACCTAAGGCACATCTGTCTGGGAGCCTCAACACGGGTCCCCAGATACCTAGACCTGTTGGTACCATAGGTCAGCTCCCATGTGTGTCCTGCATGCAACTCTGCATACCCAGAAAGCAGAACACTTTCTCACAGGTCGAGGACAGGTTTGTCTCACACTGTGAGTGGGAAGTCTTATCCAGGTAGTGCTCCCTCACTCTCTCACTCTCTCACTCTCTCTCACTCTACTTAGGAAGTGGTCAGCACTGATGCAGCTGGAATGTGGTAAAAAGTGGCGTCACTCTCTATGGAGAGCTATCACCAAATCTTACAGCTCCACCAACAAAGGCAAGGAAGCCAGCCCAGTCTCAGCCCAAAGAGACCAAAGAACGATGACTAACTTGGGGCCACATTCCTGGAAAAATCCAACCCACACCCCGTGGTCACTGTAATTCCCCTTGAATTACTCTGAAGAAGGATTTAAAATGCCTTTAAGTGGACAAATGCAGTCAATTCCCCAGTTCCTTGGGAAAATACTTCCTTTCACGAGATGCTAGATTTCTACTTTAATAAGAGAATGTTTTCAGCCTCTTTCTCAGCCATGTAAAGCAGCGTGGCTCTTCAGTGCTCAATATGTGGGCCCTACGCACTGACACAGCCTTTAGTGATACACTAAGGAGGAAGGCAGAGATCCACGCACTGGACACTGAGCCAGGGGACCAGTTATAATAGACACCCCTTAATACAGCATCCTGTAAAACAAAAAAGATGCTGGAATCTTTCCTTGAGCTCTTTTTTATTGAGAATAAAATCTAGTTCTGTTATATCACAAAATATTCTGAAGGGGTTTTTTGTTGTTGCTGTTGGGTTTTGGGTTTTCTTTTTGAGCTGGGAGAGTGCAATGCTGGACTGCTTAACTAATAGCCTCACAAAATGACTATATAAAGTTTGATATCCAGTACATAAAAGGATAAAAGAAAGAAAAAAATGTTATTACTTTTAGACAGTGGAACTACATGAAATAATATTTTTGATGTACTTTCCAATATTTCTATAAGTAATGTAGTTTTTAAGCACACATATGAGAAAATGTCATTTGAAATATTTTAAAATTCAGAAGTGATTGTATTCACATATGAATGAGAAATGGTTCGACATCAGAGGAAATAAGCCAGAAGTTATACCCATAGTACATATGGCTTGTGAATTCTACTACAGTTAGAACCTCAAAGAGAAAGACAGAAGCATCAGCACACTAGTATGCTCCCAGCTGTGTTACTCACTATAAACAAACATGCAGGCCGCTCCAAGTCTCTGCACTGCAGCGGGTAAACTACATGTGGGGTGCTAACACACAATGCTGTTGCAGTGGATTCGACCATTCTTCAGAGTCAACTTTCACTTGCAAGACAAGTCAAATGGCAAGAGCCACAAAATCAAAAACCAGCTGTGGTAGGCTGTTTTCAGTCACTGTGATGCCTGGGAAGAGGTACTTGACCTCAGTCTCAGTCTGATGAGACTGTTGCTTTCTCCTGCTCCACTACACACTAAGCAAGACTTTTCACTCATTATGGGCAGAACTTTCTAGACAATTTAACTCTTATATTATCCAGGCATTCAGATTAAGTGACCTTGGTGCTTCTCTGTTTTCTGGGGTGTATGTAGAATTCTCTGATGCTCTTTTTACAATAATATTTTCAGGCAAAATTGGGAGATGCTACATTAAACAGCGTTTCTGTGAGCAAATATATTCCTGTTAGGCAGGGACATTCGGTGGATGGTTGAACCACTGCATAGCAGGCATGAATCCTGGATTCATCCCTATGATTGCAAAAACCAGACCAATAAAACAGATACTATTGGAAAATGCTATAAACTGGAGCTGACTGACGGTACACATTAGGACTAGGGAGCTGGGAGTGAGGTGCTTCATTTAAACATAGCTCAGGTATCTTTACTCTGTCCCCCAAGTACTACATCTTTGACATTCACAGAAAACTGGTAGGAAACACTGGTAGAATTCTAAGCTTCCCTCAGTTTAATATGAGCAGTGAAGGATCACAGGGTTTAAGACAAAATACACTGAAGATCACTCTTGATAATTCCCACCTCTTTCTTATGACTATGTCTACAATATATCACTATTGTCCTCCAACGTTAACACCACAATAGTCATGAAGACAAATTCTGTAAAGGTGTGTGGTCACTGATTAGTCTTTTCCTTCACCCATAAACCATTCACACAAGGATACTTCAGAATAAACATAATGAATAGATAAAGATTAACATTCAAGTGGACTCAAGGCAAGTGCTGATTCAAGCTGAAAGCATAGCTATTATGTATTCTGTCCATAAAATTTAATATCACAATGTTTGCAGTAAAAGGGCACTCTACCACACATTGCAATGAGGACAAAGCATGCTTGTATCATTCTAAGTTCAGTAAAGTAGTCTCAACAGTTCACATTCTTGAAGGAGATAGGGCACCAGGGGAGGGAAGTGATGGTTGGATCAGTGCTGAGTTTTAGTTGTCCAGTATAAAAGGACTACTGAAATAATTGGTGGGGAAGTTACCCAGCAGTGTGAATATGCTAAATTAATTTGATCAATACAAAGTACAGGATTGAAAACCAAACCCTTGCTGTTCATCAGAATGAGCCCTCATGGAGACTGCAGAGTCTAGGTGAGAATCATTTGTGGATACAGGCAGCCATTGGCAATAGATGGAAACTGTCCTGGGCATGTGGACAGTCTGGGATGCTGTGCATATAGGTGAGCAGACCAATGAGAAATCTCAGTCTCCACTCAGTTTTAATGTGAAACAAAAATGATAAAACAGTAACCTATTAGAAACACCTGAAAGAAGGGATTCTGTGTGGGGGAGCTGTTCCTTAGAGACAGCCATATGCCCTCTTTGTCACTATTGGAATAATACTCACAGAGTGCAGCATTCCAACTTATTTTTATAGCAAATACACTTAGAACAGTTCCAAGCCATCCAGGTTGAGTTTATTGGGTGTGTGGTTCCATCAAGGTCCCGGCATACTGTAAAAAAAAAAAGTCCCCACAGCATCAGTGGAGATCCCAAGCCATGATACAGAAACAGGTCTTTCAGGACATTGAGGCCAGGCCCTAGCTTGAGAAGATAGCCAATTTAGAAGGCATATATAATAGTGCTGGTTTGTACATGCTCAAAGAAATTATAATACTAAGAACTCTATAAACAAAATTTCTAAAACTAAAAACATTCTAAATTTCACTTCAGACTAAGCACTTAAAGAATAATTAAGGACCTTTGATTTTGAGTCAACTTTCACCTAATAAAAAAGACTAAATAAATTGTTCATTTCTGCTTCCTTTCACTTTGGCTCTCAATACTATGTGCATCTGTGCAGTAACCATCATGGGGACTCAGAAAATATTTATTAAACAGCCATGGGTGGAAGATCTCATTTTCAGCATATGAAAGGCCATAGGTTCAATCCTAAGCACTAGAACAAACAAGCATACTGAGACAATGTAGTAACCAAAGATCTACATTAAATCCTACCAAGAACATAAAATCAGGATCCCTGGGAATAGGGCTATGCTACCTTCCCATTCAAAAAATTCACCAAGTAATAATTGTCCAGGAAAGTTTGATAACTGCCGTGGAGACCCCTGGGGCCATACTCAGCATGCCCTGGACCATCTGAACACATAACATTAACAACTCTCACTAGGTCACTGAATTAGCATTTCCAAGTTAGCAAGATTCCTCAGGTTGGGTGATCCGTCCAGTGGATCAGACCATGGGCCTCGCCTGGAGAGGGGATGGAGATGAAGGGCTGGGCAAGAGGAAAGAGAGATGGAGACAGGTTGAGATTCCAATCGAGTCTTGTTTATTCAGGAAGTGTCCATGGCTTACATAGAGTCAAAAGGGACATGGCCTTACAGGATGGGCCAGCTTGGATCTTCTCATATGCAGTGGGCCTATCAGAAGTGGGCCTAGCAGGAAGTCATACATAGGCACATAGGTAAGCGGACATGATGTCAACAAGAGGGGATTATGGGAGATGTAGGCTAAAGCAGGAAGTTGCTCACGTCATGCACACTGTAGGCAAGGAGAGGATCATGGGAAATGTAGGCTGACACACAAAATACCCTCAGGTGGGAGGGGCAGGGCAGCAGCAGCCATTCTGAGCCGCTCCCTACAGTTGGGATGAAAACCAAAGCTCAAATACCTCTTTGGACTAAGCAGTAGTTATTATCCTTGGATTCGTGTGGGAGTCTGGTTAACTTCTGAATGTGCAGCTCTGACCACAGAGATTCTGATTTATCAAGACTTAGGTAAAGCTTAACACGGTAAGTTTTCAAAGCTCCCCAGGCAATTTTCAGTCCGGCAGAAATGAGAATTCTTTCTTATACACAGATCACATTGAAAACCCTCTTTGAGTTTACATCTGTACCTTCCCTTACACAGCTTTTTTTATTGACCCAAAAGCCTTTACCTGACAGCAGACACTACCTTCCAGGCAACAATAATGTAATCAACTTTGAAAATGACTTACCACGAGAACCACCTTCATCTTGAACTAGAGGTAGGACGTAGCAGTAGCCTCTGCATACAGTCACAAAGGTGGCCAGAACCAGAAGGCTGCCCAGGAGAGCTTTCTATAATGTAAGGTAAATCAGAGTGGAGCATAAGAGTGGATTTAGAGTGTCATCCTGGACTAAGGATCACGCACAAAGCTACTTTCTCGGATCTCCTATGTTATCTTGAAGTTTGAGATTCTTCTCTGTTTACCCAGCCCTAGAACCAAACCTACACAGTGTCTGAGTAAATGAAGGACAGAATCATATGTGCATTCAGAATTCCACAGCAGCAAGAAATGTGCTCTCGTGTTGAAGTGGAAGGCGAAAAATCCACAAGAATCAAGAATTTTTAAAACACTTTTATAGACAATGCAGAACAGAGAAGAGAGAAATTAAAAGTGGAAAAGAGGTTTTAAAACCAACAAAACAATGACAAAGACACAGAAGGTGCTGAGTATCGTAGCCCATGCTGCAGTCCCAGGGTGGCTGAGGCTGGAAAACCACTAAAAATTCAAGGCTGAATTGAATTATATAATTAGACCTTGTCTCAAAAAAGATACAAAGTGAAAGAACATACAGTTGGATATTTATTTTAATTGAGTTAATTAGACATGCAAATAGAATGAAGCAATGTTAGTGACTTACTTAGTTGCTGAGATGTCATACTCAACACTTGAAAATTAAAGTTGTGTCACTCACAGTTTGTAGAGGCTTCAGTCCTTGCATGGTCAGCAGCAGAACAGAATGGCCTGATGAGGAAATCTGTGGATGTCAAGGTGGTCTGCAGCAGTTTCAAATAAATAGGAGGCACTGAAAGGAAGGCATACCATTCTAGGACACCAGGTCACACCCATAGTGAACCGCCTCTGTTGACCAGCACCACCTTGGAACAGCAAGTCAATGATAATGCCCCCACGTGACTACGTTCCATAATCTCAGAATCTCCAACTGTGTGTGCATGATGCTTTTTTCCAGGTGGGATGTGGATGTCTAGATAAAACCACAGCTTTCTGCTCCTTGCCACACAGAGTCTTGCACGTTTCTCCACACATTGTACAATTAGTCATTCTCAATGTGTTGCCAAAGTCCTAATAATTTAGCCTTGCTAAAAAGTGGAAGTCCAAAGTTTCCTCTGACATTTAAAGCAAACTCTAGGCTGCAAGACACTGTAAAAAGTAAAAATAAAAACAAACAACTCCAAGCCTTACCTTTAAATATTGCCAACATGCAATGGTGCAGAAAAAATATTCCCATTCCAACTAAAAAATATATGATAGAAAAGGAATTAATCCAGCAAGAAGCCCAGGAGGACAGAAAGTAATATGTAGCTCCAGGTCTATCACTCAGGGAAAGAGATGTCCAGTTGTAATCTCTTTGCAAGTTCCCACCCCTAGAGCATTGCTGGCATTTTCTATTCTTATGAATTTATCTTGAGCTGACTCTGCTCAGTTGCTGCAGCTCCTCAGATGATCCACTTTCAGAGATTCTCCAAATTCTTTGGTCTCCACTAAAATTTTGGCTTCACCCTCACAACTTCAGGCACTGTCTGCTGAGAAGCACACTGCTAGACCTCACAGGACTTATTCTGAAATCTGGTTAGAGGCCTCCATAACCCTATAAATCTTGCATTCTGCATGTTGATTAAACCAGTACCACATGGTGATTGACTCCAAGGTCTGCTACAGGCTCTAGCTTTATCATGTTTCAGGGCCCTCTGAGACCCTAAATGACTGAACACTATGAAAGGAATCCCAGGAACATGATTTCCAGGCAGCCTTTCTTCAGAAAGCTGTCCCAGGGCTCTGTACTCAAGTCTTTGAATCTTCTACACTTGTGTCTCCAAAGGATAGGGACTTTGGGATTCCTTTTAAGCTATCATTTTATACTTTGTATTGTCCTGATGCAAAGTACTTGGTCTTTTTTTGTATTCTCCTTTTAAACAACCACATTACCCACTTTTTCTACTTTGAAGATTCCAATTTTAGCAAAGGTATATGTCTAATCAAACAACTTTTAAAATCATTCAGCCATGCTCTTTGGTTTTGATCCTTAATGGTGAATTGGCTAAAACACCCAACAGTACCTATGCCACAGCGTCAACATTAGGCTTCCTCGAAATTTCCAAAACGAGATTAGCTATCTTATCTTCTTTAACCCAAAGTCACAGTGCAAGAATAAAATATAGAAAATTTTTCTGCTAGAGCCTAACACACATGGCCTAAGAACACAGGAACTAAGAAAACAATCCAGCAGGCTAACAAGTAAGGAAGGAGAATCCACATGAGCCAAGGATCATGCAGTTTCATTCACTGATGTGATATCATTTACAAATTAGTCCAAGTGTTGTGAGTGCTGTAATGTAGGCAGGGATGTTCAGGCATAGACGCACAGACACTGAAGCTTGTGGCAAGGCATTTGAATAAGGCATTTTATGGAGGGACAATTATGAAATCTTTGGGCTCTTTCTCTTATTTCCTACATTTCCCTAGTGAAATGTATTAAATTCATAATTACAAAGGGTATCCTGCATCCTTCAAAAAAGCCTTATTAGATTTATGAACAGTAAGATTTGGATTTATACTAGCTGTCTGAGTCACATTTTCCATTTGCATGAGACTCAGTTCAAGCCACACATGAAACCTTACATTTCCTTTACCCCAAAGCCCAGGCTGTTGAAAGTTTTACTCTATACATAGATCTGGGAATTTTCAGGGGCTGTGCTGATGCTGAGCAATTGGAAGTTATATCTTCACTAAGCCAAGGAGAGAGGCATCAGAGGAGAATACCCAGGACTTTCAACAAGGGCTAGAGTTCCCAGCCTCTCTAGCTCTAGAGCAAGGACACAGAGATTCAGTGACTGGGGCAATCAAGGACAAAGGAGGTGTTATGTTTGAGATTGCCAGCTTCTCTTCCCTTCTCTCCCTGAAACACAGTGTCCTCACTTGGAAGGGGAGGTGTCTCCCACTTTTTTGGGAAATACAATTCCCTAGGGGGCTCAACTTAGCACACACAATCTCATTTTTTTTTTTTCTGAAGACACGTGTGGCTATGGCCTTGGTATCTGGACCTTGTCTCCTGGACAAGTCCATAGGAAATGAATAAATCCACGCTACTTTAGCATGCAACTGCCCCCAGTGGAGCTTGGGAAATGGTGTTGAAGTTTCTGCCTTAGTAGTCTCTAGGCAAAGATCCCAAGTGCCTGTTCACTTTGCTTTTGATGCTATGTGAGGTTGGAGGGTCGGCCATGAGTGCAGAGGAGCAGAAGTTCCTTCCTGTTTACCAATTCCATCCAGTTACCTTTCTGAAGGCTTTTTGTCTTCCTCCCAGTATTCAGGAACAGTGAACTCTAGTGTGAGCTGCCATAGAGAGTTTAAGACAGAGAAGATTTCTTCACTTTTTTTATATATGTGGAATCAGGATTTAGCCAATGAAGGACTCAAATCTAATTCTTTTTCCAAATGCAGATGCCCTCTGAAATTCTATTCTGTTTTACATCCTATACATCATGTTTAAAGAGCTCCAGTTCCTCCTGAAGTTGTGGTTGGAACTTTCAGTGTGTCCTAAGTGTTCGTGAACTAAAGACTTGGTCACTAGCTTGTGGCATTTCTGGGAAGTGGTGAAAATTTCCATAAATGCAGCATGGTGGAAGGAAATTAGTCTATGGGAGTGTGTCCTTGAAGCCTTGGAGGTCAGATTGAAGCTGTATCCCCATCTCTCTCCTTCTCTCTGTCTCTTTTTGTGACTTTCTGTCTGTCTGCCTGTCTCTCTCATTTGCTTCCCACCCTTCATGGGCTGGGTATTTTCACCATTAAGCACCCCCACCAAGACTATCAGCCTTCCCACATGCCCTGAAATAATGGAGCCAAATAACAATGGGTTGAACCATGTGAAAGCATGAACCAAAGAAGCTTTTCCTTTCTTCAAGTGGGACATATCAAGTGTTGGGTCAATGTGGTGGAAACTTGACCAGTAAACTCTAATTGTTTGTAGTGACATACCTAATCTGACCCAGTAATAAAGACATCACAAATACTTGGATGAACCCCCATTACCAAGGTGTGTTGGATTCTGAGGAATTGTAAATTTTTTCTGGGAAAATATCACTAGACAAAAATTTCTGTAGTTGAGAACAGCTCTGGCTCATTGTATCTACTATGCCATATGCAAGGCTGGGCTGAGATAGTATGGGAGGACGTGGCCTCATTTGTGTCCTTGGAGCTTCATCCACACCATTCAGGCAACATTGTCTGCAAGCATCAAGCTTTTCAAAACTCTTAGATTCCTGGTGTTCTGAAATGTGAGACCCATATTTATTCCTCTCTCTGGTCATTTTCATGTCCTCATTGAATGCCTTTCTTCTTAACATGTTAAGCAAACAGAAACACTGAAAAGTATGTAGAGACTTTCCTGATATGGTTTGAGTTACACTCAAAAGGAGGCCAGACAAAGGAAGATAACTACTTCACATATAAATTGTCCTATATTCAAAGCAGGACTGATTATACTAAACATAATATTTAAGGTCAATTACCTTGCTATTATTTCCCCAAATTTAACGCTCAGTTATGGGATGGTACTTCCAAATATTTGCTATTAAATTTTGTCCCATTCCACCATCCTCCTCTTCTTACAAATGTTCCTGAAACTTGGTAGAAAGATTGCTACAGAAATAAAGATTCATTAAAGCTTAGGTTTGCATTTGATTGGACAACATGGAAGAGACAATCAGTTTAGAAGAAAGGCTTAGGTGATGTCAGCTAATCCAGTTCTTAGCTTGAACACTGGGGTAAAAGGATACTTAATTCCAATATAGGTTACATGAAGATGCCACAGGTCAAACCCAAGAAAGAATAAGAACAGGACACATTGCATTGGTCATTGATGTGGGCTCCTGTGAGGGAACAGCATGCCCTGTCCATTACCTGCACTGAACAGAAAGAGTGCAGCAATGGAACCCCAGATAAATGAGGGATCTGCGTGCAGGGGAAGAGCACTGCTTCCCTCCTCTTCAGAAGACAACCAAGAAAAGAAGGAAAGTCTAGAGTACACACACATTGCAATGCCTGTTGACAACAGCACTCTGCAACAAACAGAGCAAAATGCTGTCTCTGGATTACTGATAAGACTATGAAGGAGTCTGGAATAGGAGACTGCAAAAATTTCAGTTAATGATCTTTTGAAAGTGATGTTCTCACCGTCTTCATGTTTGAAGGGGAAGTAAAGAGGATTAGGATGTGATTTATACATGTACCGCCTTCCCATAATGCATATGGTATCTCAAGTACGTCCTCATGGAAATACATTTAAAAAGAGTATAGCATAGTGACTACTGTCGTGATGTCTTCCACCTCGATGGAGAAGGACTAACAGGCTCAGGAGGATTCAGAAGGAAATGAGAACTCAGTGCCCTGACACTGTGTGAGAGGCTCAGAGAGGCCTCAAACACAGTCTCAGTTTGAGGAAGAAACGATTAACCTGATACAAGAAATTTTAAGACAGCACTTCACTTAGGCTGTAATATGGACATTTTCAGCTAATTCTTAGCCAGATTTTCCTGTGAGAGTTATGAAAAGCTGAGTGAACAAGCTTGAAAACTTTTCAGTTTCCCCCTCAAAAGTCAGGTTGAAAGTTGAGGTGAGTAAAAGTGTTGATGAAGAGAATTGCAACATTAAAAAGAATTTGAGTACTTTGCAATGGGACAACAGCAAAAACTTCCCGAGGGTACAGATGTCAGGAACTTTGACAAAGTAAAAGGAATGACAGGAACCATCCCAAAACAGAGAGCCTACGTGATTCAAAGAGCAAGGCCTCAGGCAAGGGAAGACCACAG